GCAGGGTCAATGCAGCTAGCTATCAGGAGATTTTGGAGCACTTCATGCTTCCATCTGCTGAAAAGCTTTATGGAGATGAAGATTTCATTTTTCAGCATGACCTGGCACCTGCTCACAGTGCCAAAACCACTGGTAAATGGTTTACTGACCATGGTATTACTGTGCTCAATTGGCCTGCCAACTCTCCTGACCTGAACCCCATAGAGAACCAGTGGGATATTGTGAAGAGAAAGTTGAGAGACGCAAGACCCAACACTCTGGATGAGCTTAAGGCTGCTATCGAAGCATCCTGGGCCTCCATAACACCTCAGCAGTGCCACAGGCTGATTGGCTCCATGCCACGCCGCATTGAAGCAGTCATTCATGCAAAAGGATTCCCGAACAAATATTGAGTGCATAACTGAACATGATTATTTGAAGGTTGGCGTTTTTTGTATTAAAAACACTTGTCTTTCATTGGTGGGATGAAATATGCTAATTTTTTGGGACAGGCATTTTTTGTTTTCATGAGCTGTATGCCATAATCATCAGTATTAAAACAATTATTATAATAATTATTAACAATAATTATTAAAACAATTATTATATGTGGTGGAGCGAAATTATGTACACGGATGTAACTGGGACCCCGTGTACATAATTTCGCTCCACCACATGTACCACATGAGGTGCGAATGACAATAAAGAAACTCTGACTCTGACTCTGAATTAAAGACCTGAAATATTTCAGTTGGTGTGCAATGAATCTGAAATATATGAAAGTTTCATTTTTATCATTACATTATGGAAAATAATGACCTTTATCACAATATGCTAATTTATTGAGAAGGACCTGTATATGGATGCAGTTAGAGAGGACATGGAGGTAGTTGGAGTGAGGACAGAGGACGCAGACGACAGAGTGAGATGGAGGATAGCTCGCTGTGGAGACCCTGAAGAGGGAAAGGCAGAAAGAAGAAGAAGACATGAGTATTGTAGGTCTCTGCTCCATTTTTTATCCCAATTTTATTCTTAAAATAACAACTTTTCCATTTTAGCTTCAACATTTCAATTTTTTTCTTAAACCTTTCAACTTTAACCTTGAAACTTGGAATTCCCCCCAAGAATGCACCTACCTGCACCTACATCTGGACCTGCCATTCTGTGTTTGTCTCTACTTCCTGTCCTCTCAAACTCTGCCGGTCAAAGCAAATGACCTCTTGTCCTGAGCCTGGTTTTGCTGGAGGTTTCTTCCTGTTAAAAGGGAGTTTTTCCTTTCTACTGTTACCTTGTGCTTGCTCAGGATGGGAGAATGTGATGAAGTGAAGATTAGAGTTGCATTCAGGTAAAAAAAAAAATTCCGACCCAACTCGGCCCCAGCCTGTAGCCATCATTTCCAAACCCCACCCGATCCGACGAATTAACAGAAGTTACAGGTCCGACCCCCCCCCCCCCCCCCCCCCACCACCACCACCACCAAAAAACCCAACATTTTAAATTAAGCTTTCACTGCTGGTCGATGGACGCGCAAGGCTGAATAAAGGGGGCAGAAGATCAGAGCTGAGGGGCTGTTTGTCCTTTCATGGTGGTCAAAGCACATTAAATGCTTCCTCTGCTTCTGCCTGCATTGGACCCTGCTCTGAAATGTTGAATATTTTGTGATCTCACCTGTTTGAGTTGTCGGCCGCGCGCGTCCACTAAGCGCAGCGGCTGAATGAACATCCATTTGGGCGATGGATCACTGGCAGTAGTCCATCTGAAGCTTAACTGAACTTTTGACCTCTTTCAAGGCTGGTCAGCGTGCGGTCAAATGGCAGCATGTGATTGTATGGCAAGCCATGTTGCCATATAATTGGATCGCCAGCCACGCGGGTCAGTTGACACAATCAAAAGCTCGACACCTACCCGGCCCACATATTAAACACATTATTATGGACCGGCCCAGTCCGGATCTGGGTCGGGTGGGGCTCCAGGTTCGGGTTAGAAATGACAGCTTTAGTGAAGATTCAATGAGTCTGCTGCGTCCTTAGATAAACTTTACTAATTGGATTTTCTATGTATGTGGATGTTTCTGTTCAGTGCCCTGAGACAACTTTGCTGTGAATTGGTGCTATATAAATAAACTGAACTGAAAGTGAATTCTTCACAATATTTTGATCTTCTTAGTGGCCCTTATACACAATTGTAGTGACACCATACCAGAGTTTGTATAAAACCTTCAGGAGGTTTCAAGTGACTCAGCTGCTGTTTTTCTGTGTCTCTGTACAGCTTGCCTTTGAGGCCATGACTGTCATCACTGTTGTGACCAACTGTGCTCTTATTGGGATGTCTCCACAAGTCAAAGGCTATTTCCCTGACTCGGAGACACAACTCATTCTGTGGACTGTGGCTGTTGAGGTAATTCACATGATCTCTACACACGCTCACTATCATTTACAAAAATTTTCTCTGTCTGTCTGTCGGTCGGTCCAGTATCTCTCCCAATCTCTCTAAATCTTCACATCCATCCATCATCTTTACCCATCCATCCATCCATCCATTATCTTTACCCATTTCTTCCCTTTCGGGTCACGGGGGTCACTTTTGCTCATATCCAGCAGTCACTGAACAAGAGGCGGGGGACACCCTGGACAGGTCTCCAGTCCATCACAGGGACACAGAGACAAACAAGACAAACAAACATTCACTCTCACTCACACCTAGAGACAATTTAGAGTTACCAATCAGTCTAACATGAGCCACCTATATCTAGAATAACCTATATCTTGACATATTTTTGTTTATCTCTATATTTTTGTTGGGTGTAATAATACATGCATTTGCACTGAACTGTCACAGTACAGCCATTTTAAAGTAATGCGTACATTCTGAAGAGGAGTAGGTTTTTTTTTTTTTTTTTAGAATATTTTATTTAGGATTTTTCAATAACATTACAATTATTAATTGACAAGACAAAATCAGCTCAGGAACAAGTACAATATCACTTAAGTAGTAAGACATACCTGAAATAAAAAATGTTTACGCTGACATAACAAAAAGAAGGAAAAAAAAAGGTGGGGGATGGGTCATCCTTAAAAGGATTAAATACAAATATATAGTATTCAGAGATACAGTGAGAGACAAATGGAATTTCTATTCATAAATCCTGTTGATCACAGCTCGACTATAGGAAAGTTAGTCAATTCATTGTGCATGTATGTTTCGCATATACCTTAAAAATGGTTGCCATATTTTATAAAAGGTCTTAGTTCTGTTCTGCATCCAGTATGTTATTTTCTCTAGGGTTACACAGCTATTGATTTCACAAAGCCATATTTTAATTGGAAGGGTGGCATCTGATTTCCACTTTGTCGCAATACATTTCTTAGCAATTGCCAAAAGGACTTCTGTAAGTTTCTTAGCACAATTTGTCTCTAAATTAGGATTTGGAAAGTTCCCCAATAAACAAATATCAGGGTCCAGTGGAATTGTAACCCCATGGATGTTTGATAAAATTTCACACACTCCCTGCCAAAACCCCTGCAATTTAGAATACTGCCAGGTAGCATGGAGGAATGTTCCTTCTGTCATGCTACATCTAAAACAAAGAAGGGATATGTTAGTGTTATATTTATGTAATTTATATGGGGTGATATACAGCTGATGTAAAAAATGTAATTGTACCAGCCTAAATCGAGCATTTAAAGTAGAAGTGACCCCTTCTCTACACAAATTCTTCCATAACTGCTTCCCAATAAATATTCCCAAATCCTTTTCCCATTTGATTCTTGAACCATCCATATCTGTTACAGTTAAAGTCAACAAGAGGCCTGTATACACCCTTGAAATAGTTCTAAATAATGGCTTGTTAGCATGACACATATACTCAACTGGAGACATGGGAGGTAACTTCCAATTTCCTTTTTGATTAGTTCTAATTAAGTCACGTAATTGGAGATAGCTTAGGAAATCTTTATTTGTCAACTTAAACTTCTCTTAACTGTTCTAGGGACATAAATATTAAATTTTTATAGCAGTGTTTTAATCTGCTAATACCGTTCTCCTGCCAGGATCTAAAATTGCCAGTTTGAAAAATAGGTAACAGTCCATTTCCCCATAACAGGTTTTTAGGAGAAAGAAACCCTTCTAACTTAAACATTTCCCCATGTTTATACCAAATTTGAACTGAATTGATTATTAAAGGATTATCAGTTGCCGTTTTGATAGTTTTTTTAATCCCATTTATACAGTAAATTTATTGGTGTCTCTTCTTTCATTTCTGTAACAGCTCCCAAAGTTTTTCGTCTGGTACAGAATTTTGGCCACGCATCAACTAATGTTTTCCCAGCTTTTAATTATTTCTTTGCCACACAGGACATCTTCTTTTGCCAGTAAACACCATGAAAAACTGTGTTAAATACACAATATAAACAAACGTGTTAACATAATTGCATTTACAACCAAATTAAACTTATAAACAAACAAAATATGTAAACATACCGTGTGCGCCTTCTGACCAAACATTTAGGAGGTGTCCATTTTCCCCACTTGGTTGTCTTCAACTATCTTGTTTTTCCTCTCATGTCCATACACACATGCAGCTTATAAGTCTTAACTGGTCATGCGCACTGCATGCTCACATCTAGGTGCAGTACCCAGTTCCACCAATAGATGTCAGCGACAACAAAACTTAAATGATCTTTTCTGCGACAGCTACACTGCCACCAAAATTACAAAAGCTTTGTATTCACCATGTATCAAACAAAATACAATCTTGTAATTTTCCATAAATTATCAACATTCAAATTAAGTTGTAAATAAAATTATTGAATTACATCACATATTTGTGTTTTGAGTTATCATTTGTACCGTTTTACAATAGTTTAGTACTCAATTTCAACCAATACCACTAGTTTCTAAACTGGTCTCAAGAAAAGACAGTTTCAAACATCCATGTTTCTTTCCGAACTGTTTTTGTCCTATTTGGACCTTTTGCACTAAACCATCCTCGTCTTTACTCGTTTCAACTACCTTTGCCAATTTCCATTTATTTCTAGTAATATTGGCCTTTTCTACATTAATGGGCCTTGACCTGTCTCTGTTTGCAAGTCTTTTAATCCGTGCTACAACATTAAGGGCCATATTCCAATCATGAAATCTTGAGAACCTCTCAAGAAATCTGTCTGATTTAAGGGAATTTGGTCTGTTGAACCAATTTGAGTCTTTCACTTTTGCCACCTTGAGACCCCTAGATAGGTGATCTTTCAAGATCTTTATGAACTGAATGTCCTCTTGAGATATGTCCCGTTCTTTGTGATTTGTGTCCATAAAATCAATTTCCAGTGCTTTGATCGCAGTAGCAGGTGTGATTGAAGGCAGCTCCTTTACTGCAATACGATTGCAGGTTCCTGTTACATTCTTCATACTTGTCCAGGGCTTAATGAGTCCCACAATACTCCAGCCTAAGTCTGTTTTGACTGCATAGGGATCATAATCATTTCCTGGTATGACTTCTCTTGGTTTTAGAGCTCTTGCACAATCATAACCAATGAGGAGAGCAACAGGACAGTCCAATAGATCTGGTATCTCATTTGCAATACTACATAGGTGGGGCCACTTGTTCGCTGTTCCTCGAGTTGGAATACTGGTTTTCTCCAGAGGAATATATTCTTGGGTGTATGTAGGTGGCAACTCAATGTACTCTTGTGAGTTAGTCCATCCACCTTTTGACTAGGCACGATTGAACCTGTGTCAGTCATTGTTGTCAGTTTTAACTTAACTAGTTCTGTGTTTGCTTGCACTTTTTCCACAGATGTCCTGGTCAACTTGGTATTACTGTTCTGGGTGTCTAACAGAGCATAAACCATTATCTCTGGTTTCTTTGTTGTTGCACATGAAAGCCAAACTGGAACGATCATTGAAGTGCGATCATTGTTGCCCACCTTCACACTACATGAAACGGTGGCTGCATTTTCCTCTTCTGTTGGCATTTCAGTCTTGTCACTCTTTGGACGATCTTCATAGAGAGGAGAAGGGTGGTTTCCGCTACAAACATTGCACGTCACTCTTTGTTTACAGTTTTTTGAAAAATGACCAACTCTAAGGCAAGCAAAGCACATGTCCATAATGAACCGTTTCTTTTCTTTAAGTGGCATTGCTATGAACTTTCCACATGTATAGATGAAATGATGCTGCTTGTGTAACCTGCACAAGATAATTAACCCGTATTTTATTTTGGCGGGTCAAACTGATGCCACACTATATAAGTTCCGGGTGAGAGGTGAACTCTGACCCCCCTCCACTGCTATTGCTGCTGTCTCTGTGGCTAGCTGCGTGAGCTTGTCGTCTTCCAAACACACGGGAGAATACGGCTGGATCGAGCCAAATTAACACGACCGAGAGCTTAAATTGGGTGT